AACTGGAGCTTTTGGATCTACGGTTCCCCGTCGATGAGAACCATATCAAGATCTCCTTCACATGGTACGATCTAGACTAACAGGCCCTTCTTGCAACTATGATCCATTGCTTACCCACTGTTCGAACTCCTTCTAGGTACGATGCCTTCACCCATAAGCCTACTTCACAGTATTCCCTGGCCTACGAGAAAGCTTCCATCATCTTCAATATCTCCGCCGTACTCTCCTGCCATGCCGCCGATCAGAATCGCGCCGAGGATACTGGGCTCAAGACGGCATATCATTCCTTCCAGGCATCAGCTGGAATGTTCACCTATATCAACGAGAACTTCCTTCATGCACCCTCGACCGATCTGAACAGGGATACCGTCAAGACCCTCATCCACATTACACTTGCTCAGGCCCAAGAAGTGTTCCTCGAGAAGCAAATAGCGGATGGAAAGAAGCCAGGATTTCTTGCTAAACTGGCCGGTCAAGCTGCTTATCTTTACTCTCAGGCCGCGGAGACATTGCAGGACTTCGTCAGCAAGAATGTCTTTGACAAAGTCTGGTCGGTCGTAGCGCAGGCTAAGACGGCGCATATGGGCTCGGTGGCCTCTTACTTCCAGGCAATTGCAGACAGTGAGAGTGGATCCCATGGTATTGCAATTGCTCGACTTCAGCTTGCCGACAAACAATCTGCTACGGCGATCAGTTGCGCCAAGGGATTCCCCTCGTCCCCCCCGGCAACATCCAACCTCACTGCGGAGTCTGGAAGTACCCTCATGGATCAAATCAAGCATCACCATGCAAACGTTGAGGACCAGCTTACCTCCATGACCAAGGATAACGATTTCATCTACCACCAGCCAGTCCCAAGCGAGGCTGGACTCTCGCCAGTCGCCAAGCTGCCAGCTGCGAAGGCAATTCCAGTCAGCGAGCTATACCAAGGACAGGATATCCAGCGGATCATTGGCCCTGATATCTTTCAGAAACTCGTACCCATGGCCATTACAGAGAGTGCTAGTTTGTACGACGAAGAGAAGGCCAAGCTGATTCGAGCTGAAACCGAAAAGGTGGAGACCGCCAATGGCGAGATGGCTGCTAGCCTTGACTATCTGAAATTGCCGGGTAGTCTCAACATCTTGAAAGGCGGCATGGATCAAGAGATGACGGTGGATGAAGAGTTCCGTCGCTGGTGCTCAGAGCTTGGTGGGCATAAGCCATTCAATAAAGCCCTCGACGACCTGCAGGATCGGAAAGCAGAGGTCCAGGCCGCGTTGGATGGTTGTTCCAAACAGCTCGACCTGGAAGAGAGCGTTTGTGAGAAAATGCGATCCAAGTATGGGGGTGATTGGAGCCAGCAACCCAGTGGCCGTCTCAACACTACACTCCGAGGGGATGTTCGCGCGTACCGGGATACGATCAGCGAAGCTAGTGCTAGTGACACCCAGCTGTCGGCTACATTCCGGCAGTACGAGAGTGACTTTGATCAGATGCGATCCGCTGGAGAGACGGATGAGGCCGACGTGCTTTTCCAACGAGCCATGATCAAGGCTGGCTCGAAGCACGGCAAAGGCAAAAATGGCGTGTCCAGTCCTGCCGAGGGTAGTCTCCTGGATGATGTGAACATCGAGGGCGGCATGTCTGTATCGGATCAAATCAACAAAGTTGAGGAGATCTTGAAGAAGCTCAACCTCGTCAAGCGGGAACGCTCTCAAGTGCTGAAGGATCTAAAAGAGAAGGTATGTAGCATATTAAACTTTCGCTTGGATTTTGTGTCATAAACGAGGCTAATCAACCCCCTAGGTTCACACTGACGACATCTCCAATGTGTTGATATTGAATAAGAAGTCAATTGCCGGCCAGGAGACCCAACTTTTCGAAGCAGAGCTCGAGAAATTCCGTCCGCATCAAAATCGTCTCCTGCAGGCCAACCACAAACAATCCTCCCTGATGAAGGAATTGACAAAGATCTACGCCGATTTGCTCCAAGACAAGCGAGTCCAGTCCGACCAATCAAAATATGAGGGCATTACTCGACAACGGAATTCTGTCATGGCGCGATACAAGAAGATTTATGAGGCTTACAATGGCCTTTCGTCCGGAATTGTCCAGGCACGAACTTTCTATAAGGAAATGGGCGAGAATGCCGATAGCCTGCGCAAGAATGTCGAGACCTTTATCAGCAACCGCCGGTCCGAGGGTGCACAACTCTTGAGCCAGATTGAGCGAGACAAGGCAAGCGGCGTTTCGGAGCAGGAGGATCGTGAGCGAGAGAAGCTTCGGCAGCTGATGGAACGTCTTTCTACGGAGCCCAAATCGTCGACCTCGCCTTCCACTGGATCTGCAGCAGCTCCTCCGGCTCCCTCTAAGATCAAGTCGCCTCCACCGCCAGTCCATGCTCCTTCGTATTCCGCAACTGGTCCGTCTCCCCAGATGTCCCCACGCTATCCGCCCACCATGCCCGGGGCACCTCCGTCTGGTGTTCCTCTCTCGCATTCACCGGCACCTTACGGTCAATACATGGGCGCCAATCCTGGGTACATGCCTGGTCAGCCATTCCAACAGGGAGCGGCCGCTCCTCTCTCGGAAGGATATAACCCCATGGCATACCCGTACCAGACACCTGTCTCGCCGCCTCCGAACCAACAATACTTCTCTCAAACTCCTACCCCATACAGCGGCTACACCAGCGCCAGCCCAGCTCCTTCTGCTGCGGTTGCCACCCCACAACAGCATTACATGGCTCCCCAGGGCTACATTCCCCCTCCACCTCCTCCTCGTCCACAGCAACCCAGCTACCCTCCCTCGGCCGGTGGAGTCTACCCATCCGGGCCTGGCGGCTACTCACAGGCTCGGCCATACGGACACCAAAACGCACCTTCCCAGTCCCAGCCGCCATCCGCATCGAATGACCCATGGGCAGGACTGAATGCGTGGAAATGAAGTACCATCGGGGAAAATGGGAATGGCAATCTGGAGGGGAGAGGGCATATATCTCGGCGTTAGTTTTGCTTTAGTTTGATATCACTCGTGTTTGATTTTTGTCTTCAGCCTGCGCCGCATTAGATTTCCTCTAACGAGGGAAGCTATTTCGGCCGCGGGTGGATGTTTACTCTTCTACTCGTTTTCAGCTTGAGGCAGCCCCTGTGCTGTTATGTACATGACAAATGCGAAATACAAAGCGGCCATTAGTACATCGTGATTCTATGGTAGAAACTTCCCTTGAAATTACGTGGGAACTCGTTTATCACGAGGATCCACCGCTTTGCCAGCCTGTCGTTCACCATCCACGAGAATCGAGTAATGTTCGGTTACGAGCTCCGATGAACATATGTCAGCTAGAATAATAACCTTAATCACCCCTTGACGACTAGATTGCATCCATTGGGGCTGGATAATTAATAAAGAAAGTTAATAATTCCAAGACTTTAAGGTCCGAGTCAAGATTATGATATGAATAAAGCCTCTATCTTCCTTAAGAGCATTCCAGATACCAGTACTAGTAGCACGACTTGTGAAATTTATTGACGATCTGAGATTTAGGTTTGATCTAATCATGATATACTCATTCATCAGTAGAGTCCAGGGGAGATAGAGACAAAATTATAGAAGAGCCCTGGAGAGAGAACACGGGATTGTACTTGAACGAAAATACCCTTTAAGGATAGTAAGAAACGGCCTTTCCAACTCCAAGGATTGCTAATGGCTGACATGATACTAGTATTCGACACAAACCGGCTTTTCTCAATGCTGTTGTTGCTAGGCTGGTGAGGACCCATGACCCGTCAAGATATCTGAAAATATTGCCAGTGTCTTGACAATATGGCGAATTATGCTGTCGATTGGATGAAATCTGGCAAAGACGAGACTTATCAATTGTATAATATGTATAAAATTCTCAACGATCTGGCCCTTGACTAGGATGGTGCAAGTCATACTAAAGTTTATTGCATTGTTATGGAGATAAAGAAAACACTCCGAGGTGACACCAAAAGCTCCAACGGTAAGGATAACCGTTCCCTAAGCTCTCTTCGGGAGACCCTGCTCTTGCTGTGTGGTCACTCATGTGTGGCATCCAAAATTCACCCCACAAGTGTTAAAGGTGAGCTTTCGAAGGAATAGAAAGACCCAGCAAAGAATCGGAGAAGCACCAAGCCATGTCATGGAGCGAATCAAATCACCATGACAACTACACTTAATCGACAATCCCTTGATGGATTGACAACAAGCAAACGAAAAAAAGTCGACATCCAATCAACCACCCATCACTCACCCGTCTCTAACTGTGGAGTTCACGAATCGGCGAGATCCACAGATGGCGGGGTGAGAGGGGGAGGGGGGGGGTGAAATTCGATCTATCGATTTCTCGATTTCGAGGCGGGCTGGCATTCCTGGCATTCCCACCTCAACGTTTGTCGTTCATTTTCTTCCGGATTTCATCCATGCACAACAGAATTACGACCCAGAATTTGCGATCACATTATCACCGACAGCAGTTCTCATTAAAAGCAATATCACCTTTGCTTTATCTTTTCTGTTCGTCGTGGAAACAAAAGAATTACACACTGTCATCGAATACGCCCCCCGACGAAGCAGCAGCAGCAGCAGCGGCAGCAGCAGATTATGACAACTGTCATCACATTGAAGCCGACTGGTCCACCATATCAGTACGGCCTCATACAGAAATGTAGTGCATGGTCATCCCCCTTTCGAATTGAAAGGCGGACGGATTTCTATTCGACGCAACCTGCAAAGCTGAGTTATATTTAAGTGTCTCCAGCGACTGAAATACTTCTCGATACACGACTAGACGAATAAAACGACAAACTACATACAATAATACAGCATCTACGAACCTACCACGATCAAAAAGACCTAACATACAACCTATACAAGCGCAAAGAAGAAAATAACGCGAAACGAAACGAAACAAATACGAACAGGGGGGGATATCAACCAAACGACAACGACAAAAGCAAACGACAAACAATCCCATCCAATCCAACATGTTACTTTTACTTCATCAACCACAGACACCCCTCAAACAACCCCAACACTAGCACCAACCCCAGACCCTTCTGCTGACCCCTCAACCTCTCCTCCCTCCTCCGACTATAAGGCGCACAATACGGTTCATCCGAAGACCCAATACTAGCCCTAACCCCATCCTGCGAAGCATGATAAGCTGGACTCGACGGCGCAGGCGCAAGCTGCATAGCCTTGAACTGGGCGTCGGAGATGATACGACGTCCGTACAGATATCGCATTAACTCGAAATCGGCCCGGCTGCCTGCTAGCGTTTGGCCGGTGCGGTAGTGCGCAGCTACGTGGTCGAGGAGTTTGGGCCAGGCTGTGCTTTGGTGGGGTTGGAGATCTATCTCGTTGTCGATTCGGGTATAGGGTCCGTCGGGGCGGACGTCGGTTCCTGAGTCGACGCGGCGGATTGAGGTTCGACGGGGGGAGGAGGAGGGGGAGATGAGGGTGTTTCCGTTTCTCTTCTCTGCCTCGTCCTCCGATACTTCCTGCTCCTCCTCGTCTGCGCCTGGGACCGGCGAGGAGAGAGGATTCGGGTCACCGTCCACGAACTTTGTATTTGGGCAGAGGGGGGCACCGTGCCGTTTGAGGGGGTGGGTGTGTGCGGAAGTGGCCCAGGACGTGGGTGGTCCAGTTATTCTCGTCGTCGAAGGACTCGTGGCAGTCAAGCATGTGGAAGAGACAAGTGTAGATGCGAGGATCCGGAATCCCTGCAGCTCCACCTGCTGCGTGCCCTAGTCCATTTCCATTTCCATCTCCCTCGACATTTATATCTGCATCTCTATCCTCGTTATGGGTGGCAGGCAACGACGGTGCGGCGGAGGATATGGATGGCGCAGCAATACTCCACGCCGAAGATGAATGCGATCCCGATGTCACAGACCGCACTGCTCTAGTACTACCTCGAGACCCCGCTGGCCCTGATATATTCGACGTGACCGTCACGGCCACCCTCTCTCTGTCGATACTCTGGCGCTGTCGTTGATGTTGATGTTGCTGCTGACGCTGACGATGCCGTGATTGCGGTTCCCTTCCTACCGGGCCTCCGAAGTCATTTTCTCGGGCTGAGCCGGCGACTTCGCTGCTGGTGTTGTTTGTATCGAACGATGAGATCGACGAGGAGTCGCCGCTAGTCAAGGCCGGGATGGAGGGGGAGAAAGACGGCATGCCGGAGCGGAAACTTCGAGGCGGGTCTTTTTTCCCTTTCTTTTTCCTTCTCTGCTTTTGTGCTTTATTTGCTTTTTCCTTTCTTTTTTGCCCTTCCTTTCTTCCTCTGCTATTCTCTCCTACTCCTTCGGCTCTCGCTTATCTCTTTTCTCGCGTTGCTTATTGTGACGGGGTGGGGTGGGGAAGAGAGGATGATCTGCTCGAATGTTCTGCCAAAGAGTTGCTTAGTTTGTCTGTTTCATCAGTCAGACGGAAAGGCAAAAGCAGATACGGCGAAGACGTGCTGGGGCTCAAGCGCAGGCTCCGATATACTCCGCACGGCCGATGGGCGCGGGGAAATGCAATCCAATCCAATGCAGTTCAGTCGTCGGACACTTCCAGACTCTCTTGCAAGACTGTCGTCACTAGTCTAGAGTACATCCCACTCTTGGGAAAGGAACAAGTACAGCCATGATAGAGGGCAGCGTCGTGCGCGAGACGGGGGAAGAGGTGGATGGTGGTGATATCAAAGACACATCCAAGCAAGGCAGACTGGCAGTGGAGGAAGAAGTTGAAAAGAAATCATGATACACATACATATGGAAAAGAAAACAACCTCGTCTATATCCATGGATATCCAGCGCTCACTTTCCAATCCAACCCCAACTACGATTGAAAAACTTGAAGAGCGATCACCGAAATCCTCTGCAATCGCGTACCTTTGCGAACTTGAAAGTGTCAGCATGCATGACATTTTACATTAGTTGCCGGCCTAGCCCGGGTACAGTGCAGTGCAGTGCCGTGCGGTGCAGGTTTACATACGTGGGTGGCCAGTGGGTACTAACTAGTAGTGATCGTACCTCCTCGGTATATTGTATGATTAAGCGTCAACGGGCCATTGTAAAGAGCGAAGTGGGGAATGCAAGTCGACTAGCATTGGACTATCATTTCACAGAGAAGAAAAGAAGGAGGGGGAAGGGGAAAGGAAAAATATGTGTTCTTGAAACATGAAGGGCTTTTTTTTCGCGCTAGGAACGTTGGAGGGGGAGCGGTGTGGTCGATGGGGGCTAACGTTTGGGCGGTGCAGTAGTTAACTAAAAAGTATTTGTTGGGCTAAAGTGGTTGGTTCTTGAAGACTGGCCAGGGTCGGGTGGAGAGATGGCATGATTTTGTGATGGGAGGCTTGATTGTAATAAGTACTGAAGAATTCTTGGACTAGATACTAGTACTAGTAGTAAATTAATTAAGTACTAACAGTAGCGATTCTAATTGCATGTATGGGACGTTCCGTCGCTGGTTCCGTCCAAATGTTCGGCAGTCTCCACTCGTGGATATTCGGATGAACCCTAATTAACAAAATGGAGGGAAAGACTGAAGAAGTACTCAATCAGAAACAATGATGAGTGTCAGAGAGAAGAATTGTTTATAAAGAGTATTTTTGTTTCGATTTCCCTCAAGGGTAAGCAAATATTAGAGAGATAGTAAAGATAGTGATCAAGAAGGGAAAAGAGACCACAGGCATCGCAAAGGTCAAGTCCTAATCGATGAAATTTTGGACTCGGAGAAGAGAAAGAAGCCACAGAAATATCCCGATCCGTCTATTGGTTACAGCGCCTTTCGCAGGTAAATGAAAATGAAGATAAAAAAAAGAACAGGATAAAAAACCGATCCATCCGACACCGTTGATGCCTGCAATCCAGGGAGAAAATGCACAAAGTCTATATCGTTTCGTAGCGCGCATAACGGAGATTTTTAGGAGACGTGAGAGAGAGAAGAGGAAAAGGAGTGGTTTTTTGTCCTTTTTGTGGTGGAGGGTTCCCTCTTAAAACCGCTCGGCCAAGTCGTTTCCAGCGACGGAGTTGTTGGTTGACGACGACATGGATGTGAATCCGCTGGCCGGGTTGAGCATGTCCTGCACGGCAACCTTGGGCACCTGCGGCACTGGCAGCTTGCGCTGGGTGCCATCGGGTTTTGACATGATGTCGGAGATAGTGGGACCCATGTGACCCTGACTGGGGCTATAGTAATTGGGTCCTTCGGGTTGCGGCTCCATGGGGGCCAGAGCGGGAGTATGTTGCAGGGACAGGTGGCGGATTGAAGGCAGGTGAAGCTCGTTGGCGCCTAGGGGACGCAGGCGAGGCGAGTGTGCGGGGGTTGCCAGAGGAGTGTGGTCAGGAGTAGGAGAGAGCGAATCGTGAGAGAAGGTCGGGGACGAGGGCGCAGTGGAGTTGGGAGAGTTGGGTCGCGAACGCTTCACGCGGTGTCCGCCATAGTTATCCTCGTCCTCGTTGGAGTGCGAACGAGTCATATTTTGCGAGATGGCGTAGGCGGAGAGCGAGGGCAGGCCACGACCAGCGTTATGGCGCGAGCCAAACATTTGATGCCGGGATCCGGAGTGGTAGCCCAGGTGATCATCCCGTTCGACCTGCGAAGCTGCTGTTGCCAGCAAGTTGATGTCCATTCCAGAGGAGGCACGGTCGTTGTTGCGCGAGTAAGGACCCAAGTTAGAGCGCATTTGGTTGGCATAGTTGGAGAAGGAGTGAGGGGGGGACACATCCGGAGAGCCAACTTGGGAGACTGGCGCGGAGCGGGTGATAGGCTTGCTGGGAGGAGGCATCATGTTTGCAGCGTTGACCATGGCAGCATCTTGACCAGCAGCCGCGGCTGCGGCCGCGGCGAGATGCTGAGCCTTGTTGCTGCGACGAGAATTGGGGTTGTTGTGAATGCGCGAATGGCGAGTGAGTTCGTCGGAACGGCTGAAGCGCTTAGTGCAACCGGGGAACTGGCAGGCATGAGGCTTCTCGCCAGTGTGTGTCCGAATGTGACGAGTCTGGTGTTCCAAACGGTGGAAAGCACGGTCGCAGAGAGGACATTTGTAGGGCCGGGGTAGGTCCTGGCGCACCTCCTCATTGGCGGGACGAGCACCCTTCATGAGAGGTGGCAGTAGACTGACGGAAGAAGCCATGGAGGAATCAGATTCTCCGTGAGGAGAAATGGGAGCAGAAGTCGGAGTGGTTGATTCTTGAGGATTCAGTAGATTGGAGAAACCCACTGAAGAGACGGGGGGCGGCATGTGAAATCTGCAGTGGGACGAGACCGGATTTAAAGCCGGGGGTCAAACAGATCTGGAGAAAGAGCCAAAGGCAAATGACAAAAAAAATAAAAAAGGGATTGCCGAGGTGCAGGAAGTAGGCCCGGGGGGGTGATTTATCACCGAAGAAGATGGGGGGAAGTCAAGTGCGAGAGTGTGACTTGGAGCTAAAATCGTCCGGTTGATCAACACCCGAGATGGAGAGGGGTCGATGAGGCCGATCAAGAGGATCGGATGTAAATCCTTTTTGTTGATTCTTTTGATTTATATGGGATTTTCAGTCCTTGAAGACTAAAAAAAGGATCGAGGGAAAGGAGTATGGGGAGTGTGTGCGAGAAGGAGGAAAGGAAAAAAATCTGGAGATGACGATCTGGGGAGCAGGAGGTAATAAAGGGAGGGGGGGAAGTATGAGGAATGGAGGGGGAAAAAGGGAAAGGGAGAAATCGGGGAGAAGGGAGTCGTTCGGAATCGGGGGTGAAAAAATAAAATAAAAATAAAAATAAAATAAAATCCAATTAAAATTCAAAGAGACTTATCGGATCGTAACAAGGTTGAGCAGTTGTGGGGGAGGAACCGACACAGTAAAGAGAGAGGACATATACTACTATAGCAGCAGCAGTAGTCCTCTCTAGGTTGGGGGCAAGAAAATTCAAAATGCAAAAATCAGAATTTAAAAATTCAAAATTGGACCGGAAAAAGGAAAGATAAAAAATAAAATCAGCATTTAATTCCCAAAAAAGCAAGGAAAAGGTTGACTAAAAGAAATGGAGGACGGGAAATGGCCGAAAAGAGCGGACAACATGCGGTAGATCGACTGAGGGAATGGACCGGGCTTTTGAGCCCTTTGATCCTCTTGGGACAAAGTACAGAGTACTTTATATTCATCAGCATAATTAATGAGCTACAATAACCCCCAATATCTACAATACTATCTATACCCGAACACATAGTTAACTACAGTGCGCCCTGGGGAAGGAAAAGGTGGAACCCTAAAAGGGTAAAGGGAGACAGTGGGAGAACACAAAAAAAGGAAGAAAAATTCAAATTTTATTCCGTAAAAAGATGAGTCCCCCCCCCCCCCCCCAAAAACCAAAGGAGGAAAAGAAAGAAAAAAAGGAAAAAAGAAAAAACCCCAAGGAAACCCCGAAGTGCGCCAGTGTGGGGACACCCGAAAGGTCCTTTCTGATTACATGATGTGAAGAACCCCCAAGTCCGTGTGGCGTGAGTGCGTGGCCTTACTTCCACTTCCACAGTCCACTGCCCACGGTCACTGCCCACACTGTCTCTCCCGTCCGCACTCTTCCGGCTATCGCGCGTCTGGAGAATGCGGGCTTATCTGGGGAGACCAGGAAGGGGAACGCCAGGAATGCCAGAAGACTAGTCTGGCCAAAATGGTCCCTGATCCTATGGTCTATGGTCTATGATCTATGGTCCATGGCCGATGGTCTCATCGATGGCACAATCTATGATTTGAGAATGATAAACGATGATGCTGTTTTTCCGATCGTTGATACTATCTCCTCGCAGTGGCAAAGAATCCCTCCCCCAGCCGGGGCGACGGAAGCTGGGGTACGGGTGTGTATTCCCCCATTCTCCCTTGTGGAACGGGGAAACCTTGAGGGTTAAAAAGGAAAAACTATAACAACGTAATTAAAGTCAGGGAGAGGAGATCTAGGGCTGTGACGACGGCAAGGATCATCGATGATGTCGACACATGATACATGATTTGAGCATGATTTAGTCATGGGAGGAATGGAGAGGTCATACAGACGGATGCTACGAAAACAACCCGGGCTTTTTCAAGACAAGAGGGAACTAACCTCGTGAGCCATCGAATCGAGTACCATGTGTACGATTTGGCTCTTGTCGCAAACAAGATAGCGAAGAACCATAGTATCCCATACGGAGCACTCCGTACGGGGCAGAGTAC